TCTACATCTAACCAATCCTTGAGAAGAACACAACTCCAATGTGATTGGTGTCAATTTGCTTCTCCTATCATCAAACACTCTTCCACTTGCACTAAAACGATATTCCAATGGTATTATGGATACATGAGGTGGTAGTAGATTACGTGCCATGATATATAGCACGGGCCAAAGTGTGGCATTGATGTTCCACCATTGCAAAATATCTAAATTGTCTATATCTTGTTCAATAAAATTAAATTTATTATTTAAATATAAATTGATCGAGTTCAGTATAACAAGATGAAGAATAATTAGAACACAAATCTTGTTTTCTCTTCAATAATCTGCACACAACACTTTTATCATTGTAGTAATTTTTAGTATAAAATGGCATTTAAGTTATACAAATATATGTGGGATCCACTTCTGATTTGGATCGGATCAAAGTGAATTTGCACTCTTCGTAGTGAGATGAAGAAATCGATATACTGTATGCTCAAAACGGATAATAGGTGAAGGATAAATTGATTCTTAAAGTAGACCCTTTGATTTGGAAAATAGAAGTGGAAACGCTTGTGAAAAGCACTTGCCTTATATTGGTTTGGGAAGTGGGTTTGCACCACTATATATACAAGAGCCTTTTAGAATGAGGTCGAATTGTATAACATCTAGGCTCTCTCCTGTGTGCATGGGGCTTTGACTCGTGTATGTCTGTAGCTAGTTGAAGACTTGATAATATTGCAATTGATGAGGCAGTACTTGGGAGAAGATAATATTGCAATTGAATAGTAGAATAGCTAGTTTGAGACTTTGAGGATAGTGGATTGAAGAGTTTTTTTTTTTTTTTTTTTTTTTTTGAAAACCAGTGAATTGAAGACTTGATAATTTTGCAATTGAATAGTAGAATATAATAGCTAGTTTGAGACTTTGAGGATGTAGATCGGAGATTTATTGAATTGGAGTACTTGGAAGTTGGAGAGAATCATAAAGTTATACAATGTAATTGTGCGAAAAATAGTTGAACAAATCTAGTATTTATCTAGAAAAATACTAGATTGCAATATTATAACCGTATTTTCTGTGCTGGAACCCCGGGAACTGGGGAGGGTTTTTTTTAGGGGATTGCTTCGCGAGTCACGCAGGCACAGAATGAGTCTTTGCTGCGGCCTTTTGAATTGGAAGAAGTTAAGGGTGCATTGTTTGCAATGTTCCCGGATAAGGCACCAGGCCCGGATGGAATGAATCCGGGCTTCTACCAGCATTTTTGGGATGTGGTAGGGGGGATGTGGCGAGCTTTATAATAAATTGTGTACAGTCTTGTGATTTCCAGCCCGGGTTGACTGAAACTGATATTGTTTTGATCCCTAAGAAGAACACCCCTGAGTTTGTAACTGATTTGCGCCCTATAGCCCTCAGTAATGTGGTCTATAGAGTTATGGAAAAAATGTTAGCTAACAGAATGAAGCCCACTAATGGAGGGAATAATATCTGAGTCACAAAGTGCTTTTATCCCAGATAGACTGATAACGGATAATATACTATTAGCTGCGGAAGTGGGGCATTTTCTGAACAGAAAGCAGTGTGGGATGGGGGGGGATGGAGTGCTCTCAAACTGGACATGGCAAAGGCATATGATCGGGTGGAATGGTCTTTCCTCCGTAAGATGATGCTGGCGTTGGGTTTTCATGGTGGTTGGGTGGATTTGATTATGAAATGTGTCACCACAGTTTCGTATAATATTCAAGTGAATGGTTTAAGATGTGATCCTATTATACCCACTCGTGGATTAAGGCAAGGGGATCCTTTGTCCCCGTATCTATTTATTATCTGTGCAGAGGGACTATCTTTATTATTGCAGCAGGCACATACTGTGGGATCATTACATGGATGTAGGGTAGCCAAAGGTGCCCCCCCCCCCCCCCCAATCTCTCATTTATTCTTTGCGGATGATAGTCTTTTGTTTTTTAAGGCCAGTGTGGAGGAAGCAATTGAGGTTAAAAGGTGCCTATCTGTGTACGAGGATCTGTCTGGGCAGGTAGTGAACTATCATAAGTCAAGTATATGCTATAGTAGAAATACAAGTAATGTTGATAGGGAAAATGTGGCTCAGATTTTGGGAGTGACGCAGGCTCCGAATTTTGGCAAGTATTTAGGACTCCCCTCTTTTGTTGGAAGACACAAGAAAGCAGTTTTTGCGTATATTGAGGATAAAATCCGTCAAAGGATTGGGTCATGGAATAAAAAACTGTTGTCGCAGGCGGGTAAGGAGATTCTATTGAAAACTGTAGCACAATCTATGCCTACGTTTTCAATGAGTGTTTTCTTGCTACCTATATCAGTGTGTACGACGATAGAGAGAATTATGAATCGGTATTGGTGGGACTCTGGAACTGACAGGCGAATACATTGGAAGGCATGGGACAAGTTGTGTATACCTAAGAAATATGGGGGGTTGGGTTTTAAAGATTTGCGTGCTTTTAATCTAGCAATGCTAGGAAAACAGGCGTGGCGAATGTTGACTAAGCCTGAGTCCCTGGTGGCGCGTGTGTATAAGGCCCGTTATTTTCCAAAGGGATCTTTCTTTGATGCACAAGTGGGAAATAATCCCAGTTTCTGCTGGCGGAGCATCATGGCAGCAAAGAGTATAGTTTGTGGTGGGGTAAGGCGCAGAATTGGAAACGGGGAATCTACACTCATATGGACCCACCCCTGGTTACAGGATGATCAGGACCCTATGGTACAGACAGAAATGCCAATACAGTTGCAAGGAGCCAGGGTCGCAGGTTTGATTAATCAGCAAACTGGTAATTGGGACCCCTCAATCTTAACTGATCTATTTCAACCTAGTGATGTAGCAGAGATTATGAAAATACCCATCTCCCTGGATTATGATGATACCTGGTACTGGTATGGGGACCCAAGAGGAGAGTATTCTGTTCAGAGTGGATACAGGCTAATAGTAGGAAATTATCAAGGAAATAATGGGTTATTTACAAAATGGTTACACCTATGGAAGCTAAAAATCCCGCCAAAATGGAAAATGTTTCTTTGGAGAGCCATTAGTGATATATTGCCTACCACTACAAACTTGCTTATAAAGAGGGTGAATGTGGATCCACAATGTGCCATGTGTGGAATATCTCAAGAAGACACAATGCATGATTTAGTGTTGTGTGATTTTGCAAAGAACATTTGGGATAAATCTAACCTCACAATCCCCAATATAGTCACAAATGTTTTTCATGATTGGTTTGGTGAACTCGTAAATGTTCTAGACTCTGATGGGATGTTATATGCAGCAGCAATTCTTTACAATGTTTGGAGAGCAAGGAACATGGCGGTCTGGGAGGCAACGTTACCGCGCCCGGAGATGGTACTCAAGGCCGCCGCTGCTGCCAAGTTAGCATGGACGTGGGCGCACCCACTGCCCACGGCCCGAACTACTACGCTGCCAACCGAGCCGGTTCAACTGCAAGGGGAGTCCGGGCTGCATGGTGTCGAGCTGCACACTGCCGAGACGCCACATGGCCCGCCAAGGAGGCTGTGTCGTGTAGATGGGGGATTTATGCAAGAGACGGGCCAAGCTGCATTTGGGGCGGTCTTACTAGATACGAACGGAGGCTACGTCTCGGCATACAGCGGACCGCTACGAGGATGCTCCTCGCCACTTATGGCCAAGGCGCTCGCATGTAAAGAGGCTCTATCATGGTTGAAGGATCGGGGGGAACAGAATGTCGAGATATATACGGACTGTTTGACACTACACCACTATCTTACTACACCAACCGTTGTGTTGCGCACATATCTAGGCTATGCCATTGACAGCTGCAGACTTATTGCATCTTTGTTTCAGTCTTGTTCATTCCATTTAATTCCTAGATTAGATAACTATTTAGCTCATGTTTTAGCTACTACGGCTTACCAGCAATCTGCTGCCATGTATTGGGATCTGCTCCCACCAGATATTATTTCGACCTATTTTTAATGAAGCACCATATAATTTTCAAAAACAAATCTAGTATTTATAGCTTTAAAAAAATAGTATTTATAGAAAAAATAATTAAAAAAAAAAACCATAGTCAAGCCAAAGTTAGCCCAGCAACGTTACATAAGCATCCATTAAACAGCCCAGGGCCTTATTATGGTAATAAGCTTTGATGCCTTCAAGAATCAAGAGTCAAAACTCGAACAATTGAGTTTTGACCACAACGTTCAAAACTTAAAACCTTCTTTTAATTATTTTTTATAATCATAATAATATAGTATTATAGACACTAGGGCTGCTAACGAGTCGAGCCGAGCTCGAGCTTTGGGTAGCTCGAGCTCGAGCTCGGCTCGAGTTGCTCGTTTGTTCTAGCTCGAGCTGCTCGACTTGGACTTGAGTTCGCGAACTTGTGCTCGAATTCGAGCTCGAATTCAAGCACAATTTTGACCTATTTAATACATGTTGAATCAGAACTCAAAAAAAAAAAATCAAAGTCCAAAACAAAGCTCTCCACACAAGTTTACAGCTTCAAATCTAAAGTAGAAGTCTACAGCAACATTACAAAATACAAACAGATCAAACAACTTCACATCAATTCAATACAAGTTAAGAACTTAACATCAACTTCACACCCGCCATGCTTTTCAATCTTCACTCTTTCCAGCAACAACGCCCCGTCAAAAAAGATTAGGAACATTCATTCTAACATAACCTGCAAATCTTTAGATCTTAAACACACTAACTAAATATATAAAAGCTGTAAATGATCAATATATAGATTTTAATTGAGATGTTACTCATGAGTTGGATACTAGATGATAAAGTGTGTAACTTACTTTCATGGGTTGGATACATGAAGATAAATTTCTTGATACGATTTCTCTTTCTAAACAAAAAAAAAAAAAAAAAAAAAAAAAAAAAAAAGATAAATTAACATGTAATTTAACAAATATTTTTAAAAGACAATGCATCATTTCACATAAAAGTTATAAATTAAAAATTAACTTACTTTGTTTTTGGTAACTCCGTGTATATGTCAAAGCCAATCACCCCCACAGAGTAAAGCTTGTACTGTTTTCGGCAGCAATGATGCACGATAAGAATCAATTACTCGTGTCCCCGCACTAAACGTTGCTTCTAAAGCCACCGTGCTAACAGGTATAGCTAAGATATCCGCTGCCATTCTTGACAATATTGGATAGTGCATTCTATTCATCTTCCACCAATCCAAACAAGAAAAGTCTGCAGAAATCTCACTTTTCTTAAGACGGCCTTTTTCAAGATAGTCTACTAACTCTGATTTCTTTGGCTTTGAAGTTTCAACTTGAGCACAATAATCATCAAAATCATCCCAATCATATGTAGAACTTTGACGGCTTACTTGGCTCCCAAAAGTTGTAGAAGAACCTGGATTTTTAGAAATGCCTTTGTTCATTGCTTCAGCAACATACTCTTCATAAAGAGTATTGATGATCTCTTTCACTTTTGAAATGTTTTCCTTAGCTTCCTTATCAGAATACAGTCTAGGAAAACAAAACTCAACTGCAAGCATCTTCTTTGTTGGATCAAAAACAGCACCTATAGCCATCAACAGATTACACGCACCCCAATATTTATCAAACTTCATTTTCATTTTCCCAACCAAATCCTTAATAAAGGAATCTTCATCATTTGCATGACTATCCAAGGCTGCTTTCCAAAAACAAACCTGAAATAATGTGAGTAGCTGTCCAGAAAGTCTCTAAAATAGAGCAAACCTTGGTCACTTTATCCCAATCATCTTCTAACAGACAACTGTCAAAGAATGGATCACGATCATTTAACATCTTAAAAGCTTCTTTAAACTTGAGTGCACAACTTAGCATCTCAAAAGTCAAGTTCCATCTTGTTTTACAATCACGAATCAATTTTCTATCTTTTAATTGCAATTGCTGCACACAATCTGCAAACTGTATACGTCTGGCCTCCGATCGGTTCACATATTCGACACTATCTCTAACATCCCTAATGACATGTCGAATCTCTTCTAATCCATCTTGAACACACAAGTTCAAAATGTGTGCACAACAACGAACATGAAATAAACGTCCTCCACATACCAAACTTCTTGATCTTTGAAGTGTATCCTTCATGTACCGAATTGCAGAATCGTTACTAGTCGCATTATCAACTGTTATTGTAAAAACCTTCTTTTCAGTGCCCCAATCTTTCATGCACCTAAATATAGCATCACATATCTGAAGACCTCCCCTCGGTGGTGAAATGTTGATGAAGCTTAAAACTCTCTTTTGCAATTTCCAACTAGAATCAATCCAGTGGCCAGTCACAACCATGTACTCAATCTTCTGATTTTTTATTTCCAACAATCCGTTGTCAAACTTACTTTACTAACGGATTCAAGATTGTGCTTTAACATTTTCTTTTCAATCTCATAAACCTTCAAACAATCTGATTTGTTTGTGCTTCTACTAATCTTTCTCCACTCTGGCATTCCTCGTTTCATCATGATGCTAAATCCTACTTCCTCCAAAATGTTGAATGGATGTTCATGCATCATGATCCAATGAGCCGCAGACTCTCTCATTACTTCATGTCAAACTTTCCACGATGTAATGGCGGAAGGGAAGATGAAACTCCATCACTAGGCAAAAAATTCAACTTAGTTTGTTGATCAACCACCTAACAAACCAATACAATTAGTCAATAACTATAAATTTATTTCCATCTAGCTAACATTTAAGCTAAGGAAAATTAAATAGTTACCTGTAAGTTTGCCTTTCTCTTAACACATTTCTCTTGATGCCTCTTGTAGCTAGTTGTCGTGCCAGTTTTAGTTAATGCAAAGTGATTATGACAATGATTGCACTTTACCTTCTTTATTCCATCTACATTGATCACTTCAAAATCCGCCCACACACTTGATGTTTTTTTCCTCTTGTTTGTTTGAAAATCTGATTAGTTTTCTACATCTTCATTTCCGAGTGTATCATGATCACCTAAATGTAATTCTATTCCTTCAGTTTGTTGCACTTCATTACTTTCACCAACCATACTGCTTGAAGTAGGTAGATTTTGCGGGATAGATGAATTATCTATAGACATAACTAATGGAAAACAATAATATAATCAATAACGAATGAGCACTCCACATGGATGCTAATCCACATACCCAAATGAAAAAATAAAAATTGGCATACTGTCACTGTTTAAAATGACTGTCAAGAAGCAGTGATAAGTAAATGTCTCTGTAGGCAGCCTAAGGTAGCATGAAACCAATTTCCTCTAGATGGTAAACATGTTATATCTGTGAAGTGAAGATATCATCGTTGAAGTGAAGAAAGGATAGAAAGGCATATTATCATTCTTACCTCTGGGATAGCACATGATCTCCATCCCTAAACATGTTAATTAATTTGAAATTCTCTTCAGTTTTTAATTAATCATGAAGCTAACATAGTAATAGTTTTTTCAAGACACAAAATAGTATCTAAGTAGAAACATTCTCTAAGTAGAAACATATTTAGTACCTAAGGCACTGCGGCACATAGTATCTAAGGCACAAAATAAGCATAAAGGCATAAAATAGTCTCTAAGCAGAAAATATCAAAAACATTATACCATAGAAAAAAATAAGTAAGTTTCTAAGCAGAAAATAGAAAAAAAATTATAATCCCTAATTAAGAGTTTCTAAGCAGAAAATAGCAAAAAATATATAGAACCATAGCAAAAAATCAGTAAGTTTCTAAGCAGAAAATAGCAAAAAAAGAATTCTAATCCCTAATTTAATTAGAAACATACTCAGTAAGTATATTCGACAGAAAATGGCATCTTCGGCAGAAAATAGCAGAAAATAGAAACATACTAAGCTTAAAACACATATATATCATATTTAAAAAAAAAAAAATTACCTTGGTAGTTGGCACTAACTCAGTAAGTTTCTTCGGCTGGGAAGTGGCAGAGGGAGGTGGCGAAGTGCCAGACCGTCGTCGGCGGAGGCGGACTGGCGCTTGCCTGTTGCGTCGCCGAGGATAGCTGCGAGAGGGAGTCGGAGGCAGCAAGTCCAGAGAGCCTGCAGGAGTCCACCAGTCCAGAGAGGCAGAGAGCCGGTGGCAGCGGTGGACTTGGGTCTGGCTGTAACGTCGCTGGCGGTGGCTGTGAGAGGGAGCGAGAGTTTAGACTTTAGACTGCAACGTCGCCAGCGGTGGCTGCGAGAGGGAGCGGGAGTTTAGACTTTAGAGAGAAGTGAGAAGCGAGAGAGTCAAATAAGAAATATAGGGATTTAGGCTTTAGGAGTTTAGGCGAGAACTGAGTTGCCACATTAAGAGTTTTAACTTTTAAGTATATATATTAATATATTATATTATATTATATTATATTATTTATTTAATTATGCTCGCGAGCGTGTAATATATGAGCTCGAGCTCGGCTCGTTTGCCTAACGAGCCAGCTCGTGCTCGAATTGACCGGGCACGATCCGGGCTTTGACCGAGCGGCTCGCGAACCGCTCGGCTCATTTGCAGCCCTAATACACACTACACAAACATTACACGACTAAGCATTGTATGATACTATGACTATTTTCCACACGGGCCGAGCCCATATTACCATCAGTAGTTTAAGATTCTCAATCGTTACTAGAATTTCTTTACAAGTAGTTGATCTTGGGAAAATTTACAAGTGTATTATAGTAGATTTTTTAAAATAAATTTATGTATTGTTTTTGTATATATGTCTAATAGATTTATTATTATAGGTATTGATGTAATTGATAATGTTAATTTTTATTTATAATTTTAAGAATTTTAAATTTTAATTAAAAAAAATTACTGTTAAGCGGTTAACCAACCGATTAACTGAAGAAAATTTTGGATTGGTTAATTCGGTATTGATATTACCCAAGTAAATCAAGGAACAAATAAGATTATCTAGGAACATTCTCAATTCAATGGTACAAAGTAAATTACTTGTAGTTGCACGAAATCTCCCTTTAGTTTTGAATCCAATCGGGTTTTCATTGCGATCCGTGGAAGATCATGAGATCGAAGTCCAAATAATAATTCTAAATAAGAATGTAAGAATTTAATCAATGATTAACACATACACTTTGGGTGTAATGGTAAGACTTGAAAATAATTCCAAGGAATTTATTAAATCAAGACTGAAAAATAAAGAGGATGAACAAACCCTATTTATAAGGTTTGGTCATACACACTTGCTTTAGGGGCAATTAAGATACATAACTTCCTTATTTACTTCTAAATAATTTGGAAAGCAATAAAAGTAATCAGTTTAGGAAACGGAATTGAATAATCATTCCTTCTTAAGAAGATGATTACTCAAAATCAACACAAATACAATTAAATAGGTACTTAGATAGGTCACATTCCAAGTTTAATTTGGTGCAGCATCCTTGCTGCTCAATCCCTCCTTCGGGAAGGTATCTGCCAAAGGGTGGGGGATGGGAATGATACTCTAGTCTGGGGCTGTTGATGGTTGGTTGATATCAGTGATCCAGGTCTTCATACTGCATACATTGAAGAACTAAAAGAGGCAAAAGTTTGCAACTTACTGAACAGTGAAGACTCTAGCTTGGGATGAAGAGCTTATCCGTGACATCTTTGAAGAGAATGATGTTCGCAGAATTCTGAACACTCCTATAGCACCAACGCACTCTGACTCATGGTATTGAAAAGGGGATGTCCATGGCCAGTATACGGTGAAGCATGGTTATTGTTGTTTGACCCGAGGTTTACAGGAACAGGAGCAATCTGTTGTGTTCAAGGAATGGCGTACCTTATGGCATTTACCAGTGCCTCCGAAGTTTAAAAACTTCCTATGGCGTTGCATGCGGGGTATACTTCCAGTACGTGAACTACTCAAGACTAAATGGGTATGGATTGGGGGGGGGGGGGGGGGGGGGGGGGGGGCTTACCTATTTTGTGATTCTGAGTTTAAAACAATCTCACATATCTTGTGTGTATGCCCGGTTGCTTGTAATGTTTGGGGTTGTACTAATGTTCTGAATGGAATGTCTTTTGTGGATTTTGTAGAGTCTAAGCTACATGCAGCAAATATAAAGGAAAGCATGCGTATGGTGGCTCGTTTTTGGGTATTATGGATGGCAAGAAACGACCTTGTGTGGAATGGTAAGCATTGGTCAGTAGTTGATATGTGTGCTCAAGTTGAATTATTTCTTTCTACATGGTCTGAGTTGGTGCCATCAATTTCTAATCCACTGCAGCAAAATAATATTGTTTCTTCATGGAGTCCGTCACCTGCTGGAATGCTTAAGTGTAATGTAGACGCTGCTTTGCATGAAGATGTTGCAACCTTTGGAGCTATTATTCGAAACCATAAAGTGGAATTCATAGTTGCCATAAGTGGTCCGCTTCGCTGTAGTGATGATCCCTATCTTGTTGAAGCCATGGCGGTCAAAGAAGCCTTGTCGTGGATCAAGTCTCGCCCGGTTTTTAATTTCATCTTAGAAACGGATTGTCTTAATTTTTGCTCTAGTTTTAATTCTTTTAGACAAGAATTTTCTCATGTTGGTTTGATTATTAAGTAGTGTCGGTTAACTGCTAGTGACATCGGGAACATCTTTGTTTGCCTTGTCAAAAGCTCAGCGAATCATGTGGCTCATGTGTTTGCATGGGCAACTGATTCTTCCTCTGTCCTTGGAGTCTGGAAGTCTTTCCCTCCTACGTGTATTTCGCATTTGATTTAATATATGGTTATCCTTTGGTTTTCAAAAAAAAAAATAAAAAATTAAGCTCTTGGTCTTCATTTGGGCTTGAACTTCCATTTAAATTCTACCATCTTTGCACATGTCCAATAAAGAGTTGTATTAGCTTATTGGACTTTGATATTGTTATGGGCCCAATTGGCACTCGTAATGGATCCGTAGGTTGATCCGTATTAGATAATATAATAAAAAGTTTGATTTGGTTAACGGTTAAAGTTTTAAAATTTTCGGTTAATTCGATTCAGCTAACCAAATGCAAACCCCTATAAATATAATTAGATTTGAAAAATTGTATTTTAATGAAATGAAATGATGAATTACTTAATTCCGTTTGAAATTAAGGGTGTGTTTGGAAACCCGAAAAATGATTTCTGGAAATCATTTTTTGGTTTTCCAGTGTTTAGCAATGAGGAAAATTTAAAGTCAACGGAAAATAAAACTTTGGTCAATAGAAAATAGACATGTTTTTATGGAAAATTACTTCCCTTTTTTTGGGAAGTCATTTTCCAGCCTTTCTCTACCAACACCAGACCACGCCTCTCTCTACAGCCAAAAGAGCATATCAATCCCGGAAGTCGGCCTCCGGCCAAGACAAAAATGCAGAACATCATATTTGAGATGAGATCACCAACCATCAAGAACAGTGATCATCAGGCACTATCAAAACAGTTGAAGAGAGACCCTTTCACCAGCCACCAGTCGATTCAAGGAGGAACACCGTCATACTGAAGCTCCAATCAAGCAATCTCAACAAGCCACGAACAATAATCTAGGTAATGGAGTATTTATGATATTATGCTCGCAGTCGCAGGGAATAGATGACTTGGCTGAATTTGCCTGATGACAATCGCTAAGGTCGGGGACGAAAAGCTTAGAATTGAAGGTGAATTGAAGTTCAAAACAAATTTATTTATTATATAAGCCTTGGGGAACAACAAAAAATTTATCATTATATTTAAACATTCCATAAACAAGTTTGAGATACATTTTTTTTTTAGCAAAACCAAAAGTTAAATTCAAACATCTTATTATAAAAGTTTTTATATCTAAACAAAACAATTAAAATGTTTAATTATACAATTTTGTTCATGTTTTGAAAATAAACCAAATACACATGTTGAGACTTAGTTAATATCAGTTAGTCTTTTGCCTAGTCTTTGGGTTTTTGTATAACTAGTTCCTTGCTTTTGGGGATTGTTTCCTATGTATTCCCTTTGTCAGATGATGAATAAATTTGTTCAGTTGTCACTCTCACATGGTATCACAGTCATTACTCTAGCGAGATTTTTTTTTCCTTCCTCTAATCCCTCCTCATTCTCTCATGGCTGCCACAACTCAAACAAGCGTTATTCAAATCTATGCACCGTCTCACCTACCGATCAAACTTACAACCTCTAATTTTCCCATTTGGAGAAAACATGTAGAGTCTACGCACATCGGACTAGACCTCATGGGCTACGTTAAAATGGGACCATATCAACTCCGGAAAATACTCCGACCCAACACAAATAGTCTCAAACCCAGCCTAGACGGGGTGGTATAGACAAGATCAAATTATCCAGAGTGCGATCCTAGGCAGTTTGACAGACACTCTACAACCTCTGATTTCGTCAGCATCCTCTGCGTTTGATGCATGGACCCGATTGTGTACTACCTGACGCATAGTTTCGTTGAAAGCAAAGCTAGCAAAGAATCCCAAAGGCAATAGGTCCATTGACTCCTACATGCGGGAGATGTGGACAATTGTGGACGATCTAGCACTTGCTCAAAGTTCGGTGAATGAAGAGGACGTGGTCGTTCATATATTCACACAACTAGGTGATGAATATAACTCTGTTGTGGCTACGTTCCGTGTGCGAACTGATGCTATTTCGTTTAGGGAACTACATGATGTTCTCACAGATTATGAGCGGCTGCTACAAGACAATGATGCTACCTCTCAGGTCCACATGCCCACGGCCAATGTGACGCAACGGTGTTTCAATGGTACCACCTGACTCTAATTTCCACCCAAGTACTCGCCGTGGTAGAGATGGAGCGAATCTGTCTAATGGGCAGCAAAATCACACACGGCATACAGTCAATCGTCCAACTTGGCACTGCGATTACCCCGGGTATGACACGAAATACGGTCGTAAACTGGCCAAATTTTTTTAAGAAAACAATGTGTTCGTTCTTGAACCTCAAAGCAATGGCCACCAATCCCCTACGGTGCACACTACTACTACTAGTCCTACGCAATCTAAGTCGTGGCTCATGGACTCGAGAACCTCACACCATACTGTCAAAGATCCTATGTCCTTACAGACATTTTTGGACTACACAAGTCCGTATGAAATTATTCTGGGAGATGGTAAGTCCTTGCATATCTCACATACTGGGTCTGTTTCTCTTCCCTCTGCATATCGTTCTCTTCTTCTCTTAGACATCTTATGTGTTCCTAGTCTGCAAAAAAACTTAGTGTCTGTTTCTAAACTCTGCCAGACTAACTCGGTTTCGGTTGAATTTTTTGACTCTTATTTTCTGGTTAAGGATCGAGTGTCGGGCACACCCCTAAGGCGAGGTCCAGTCGTGAATGATGTTTACAGCATTCCTTAGTGGCATCATCAATATGGTCATCCCAACCACAGGGCTTTGTCCTCCATTCTCAGGAGTAATAATGTTCCTTTCGATCGTCAAGCACTTGAAACGTTTTCATGTACTTCATGTCATGTAAATAAAAGTCACAAATTGCCCTTTTCGTTTAACTCCATGTCTAGTACTAAACCATTGGAACTTATATATACTGATGTTTGGAGTTCGTCAACATTCTTTGTAGATGATTTTAAGTATTACATTAATTTTATAGACCACTACACGAAAGTATGTCTGGTTGTTCCCCTTAAAACTTAAGTCTGACGTTCATAGATTCTTTGTTCATTTTAAATCCATGGTTGAAAATTATTTTGGGCATAGAATAATCTCTATTTTTTCAGATAATGGAGGGGAGTATACAATGTTAATTCCAACATTCAATAGTCTTGAGAATTTCACATTTTACTTCACCTCCCCACACCCCGGGAACATAATGGTTTTGCGGAGAGGCGTCACAGACATGTTATGGAAAATTGTATGGCGCTGTTACATTTTTCGTCTATATCGTCCTCGTACAGTTATATGCATTTCAAACGGCAATTTATTTAATCAACCGTATGCCTACTCCTATACTTCACAACTCCTCAACGTATAAAAAACTATTCAACAAAGAGCCAAATTACAACAAAATTTAACCCTTTGGATGTCTATGCTTTCCATGGTTAAAACCATATTTTCCAGGTAAACTAAAACCAAAATCTCACTCGAGTGTCTTCTTAGGTTACACCCTAAGTCAATCGGCCTACAAATGCTTGGACCCGACTACTGGTCGTGTGTATGTTTCGCGTCATGTGTCTTTTATGTCTGATGAGTTTCCTTTTCATAAACAGGGCAACGCCATATTCTCTTACAAGCGTGAAAAGTTTGTCTCCACCGCCAATTATTCCTACTGCCAGTGGTTTATTTTTATCGTAGTCTCAATATGTGATTGATGTTTTGGATCACTTTGGTATGACAGTGGCGAAAGAGGTGTCAACGATGATGAGAACTTCTGTGGACTTGGGCGCTACTTCTCCGACTTTTGATGCCACTGTGTATCGGCAAGCCATTGGCCGGTTGTAGTACTTGCCTATTACTAGACCAGAGATTTCGTTTGCAGTGAACCGTTTAGCTCAATTTATGGCCTCACCCACTGAGCTGCAGTGGCAGTCGGTGAAATGGGTACTTCGCTACTTGAAGGGTACGTTACATCATGGATTGCATTTTCGCAGGGGTCAGTCTATTTCCCTAATGGCTTATTCGGACTCGGATTGGGGTGGCGCTAGTGATGGGGGCCACTCGACCACGGCCTATGTGGTCTATTTTGGTCTAAATGTTGTGTCCTGGAAGTCTACGAAACAACGCTCTATATCTCGGTCTTCTACGGAGGCGGAGTTTTAGGAGGTCATGTGGATTCAGAATCTGCTACGTGAGCTTGGGGTACTGTTAAGAGTTTCACCGGTTCTGGTTACTAATAATTTGAGTGCCTCTTACGTCTGTAAGAACCCGGTGTTTTACTCGCGAATAGCATTTGGCTCTTAATTACTTTTTTGTCCGTGAACAGGTTACTTCCGGCTCCCTACGAGTGTGTTACGTGAAGTCGTCTAACCAGGTTGCAGATCTTTTGGAAAAGCCACTTGGCCATCGACTGTTTACTACGTTTAGAACCATGATTGGTCTCACCGGTGGTGCCTCAATCTTGCGGGGGCATGTTGATACTTAGTTAATATCAATTAGTATTTTGCCTAGTCTTTGGGTTTTTGTATAACTTGTTCCCTACTTCTGTGGATTGTTTCCTATTTATTCCCTTTGTCAGATGATGAATAAATGTGTTCAGTTGTCACTCTCATAGCTTAGTCGTGACTATTTTGAAACGTGTACTCTGATGGTAAAATCGGTGACCATTCGTGTTATTCTCACCATTTCTTTGTCACCGGGGTGGTCGTTGCGCCAGTTGGACGTGAACAACGCCTTTTTTGAATGGTACTCTGTTTGAAGAAGTCTATATGGACCAGCCGGCTGGTTTTGTTGATCAATAGTTGCCTGGTTATGTCTGTAAGCTGCGGAAGGCGATTTATGGTTTAAAACATGCCCCACGGGCTTGGTACCTGGAGATGTCTAAGTTTCTTATTTTATCTAGTTTCAAGAAATCTGTAGCTGATTCATATCTATTAATATACTGTTCGCGTGATGTAATTGTGTATTTTTTAGTATACGTAGATGATATTATTTTGACAGGAAACAATGATGCGTTTATTGGTGCGTTTGTGCGTCGTCTTGCGCATCGATTCTCGCTCAAGGATTTGGGGCCGCTTCATCACTTTTTGAGTGTTGAAGTGGTTCCTACTTAGACTTGGCAATTATCGACACGACCCGTTAACAAGACACGAAACCGGACACGAAAATAACGGGTTAGTGTTTAGCCTTAACGTGTCCCGGGTCGCTAACGGGTTGACCCGTTATGATTCGTGTCTTAACAGGTTAACCCGTGAAACCCGTTAAGAACCCGTTTAACCTGTTAATGTTATCGTGTTAACCCGTTTACATGGACCCGTTTACACGAACCTGTTTATAACCCGCTAAAAATCATTGTGTTATAATATTATTTTACTTATTTAATAATTAATATAAAAGAAAATTAAAAACTAAAACCCTAAAAGACTTGGAATATGGAAAGTTTTATTCTTATTTTGTTATTTTTAGTCTATAAACAAATCTTTACCGTGGAAAGTGTATCGGGTAAGTGTACGTTACCCAGTTGTGGAAGTAAACTTATCTATTCGCACCCTTACCTGGTGTGGTAAGCGTAGGGGGAGGTTCCTTTAAGTTAGAGAGGGATGAAGTGAGGGGAGGTGTTATGTGTAGGTTTCACAATCTCACTGCGCGTCCTAAGATTCCTGGATCCTATGTTCCTAAGTACCTAGAGTTCAAGCCTAGTGTCCTAAAGTCCGGTCTTAAGAGTCTTATCCTAGGGTCAAACTTAGGCTCTGATACCAACTGTAACACCCCAGATTTTCAAGACATTTAAAACTTATAAAATAAAGGTATTATCTCATTAAATCCCAAAACATAATACAAGTGTACGGGGTGCTATGCCACACCTGAGCTGGAGAACCCAGGTGCACAGGCTAACTAACTAATATCCTCAATAATGTAAATGCATAATATGGCACGCAGGCCGAAAGGGGACTAACTACTTCTACGTTCCGAGTACTAGCGCTCTTCAGTGACTTATTCTTCTGTGCCTGAAAGCCAAATATATCTGTTCAGCGAGAGATGCTGGTAACCCACTCCAACGCGTTGAAATACAATACATATAGAGATATATATAGATATACGAAAACCATTTTGAGCATGAAGATATATCCTACGAACTCTAGCTTTAAAACCGGGAATGACTCGACAGATAAGGTCAGACACAAGCAACAGTTATAACAGTCATAAGCAATTCATAACAGATAAGGCAAATAAGGCAAGGTATAAGCAGTAATCATAACCCATCATAAACAATCCCCAATATGAAACCCATAGTCACGTCCCAAGGCACTCATAGTCACAACTCGTCCGTATCACAACACATAACGCACGTTGTTGGCGCCACAGGACCACTCGCATGCCCATACATGCGGGTCAGCGCATATAGCTCTGACACGGCCCCACAGCACCATGCCCCGTATCGCAACACGGGGAGGTCGATCGCAACCGACCGATGAACCGCAGCTCATCATAATGTTTGATCGCAACCAAACAGTGGACCGCAGCCCAAGAGAGTATGTCATCTGACTGTAGCCAGGAATTCCCATCTGACTACAGCCAGCCTCTGAACCGCAGCTCAGGAAAGATGTCACCTGATTGCAGCCAGGAATTCCCATCTGACTACAACCGGCTTCTGGACCGCAGCCCAGGATACCGTCATCCGACTACAGCCAGGAATTCCCATCTGACCATAGCCGGCTTCTGAACCGCAGCTCAGGATAACCAATCCGATCGCAACCGAATTGGGGTAACACGCACACATAACACATAGCAAGCACATGCAACCCACATTACACATTGGGAAGGGGGATAAAGCGTATAACAACCTTATGCGTGATCCATCACGTACTAAGAATAGTCCTAAGGGGATCATACTTCTTCCACCTAGGTCAACGGGATACCAATTCAACTAGCATGCAATATAATAGACTCATAAACCTATGAACGGTACCCGAAATATCAAACTAGACATAGGCACGACAAACGGGGTCCGTTGGGACACCACAGGGATCGGGGAAACATCAAACGGGGAAGCCGGGGTCCCGCGGGGGGGAAAATTCCAGCGGGTAGCCGGTGGGTGGGGGTCCACCCGCCGGCTGCCCGCCGGTAACACTGTTCCGGGCAGCGGGTGCCCGGCGGGCAGCTGCCCGCCCGCCGGCTGCCCGCTGCCGGAGCTGCCCGTGAATGCCGCGGGTAGGTGGCGGGTCCCCTACCCCCACCTACCCCCCACTGACTCTTTTCAACACTTTTCGCCCCGGGAACCGATGTGGAACCCGAAACCATGCTTAGACACTTTTCAACGTAATTAACGACAACATATAGACAATTAACGGATCAAATACGATAAACGAACGGCACATAACCTATCATGCTTTTCTAATCATAATCAACACCCAAACATGCGATTTCCCCACCCGATAATCCAAGAATGATATCATACGATACAACCTAGGGTTCTAATCACTTTTATATCAACAAGAATACAATTCGTCTTCGTATTGCAAGATTCGGTAGGAACAACACATAGTCATCAAGGATACCAATTAATCATCAAAAACAAAATAATCATCAAGAACAACACATAATCATCAAAACCCCAATTAATCATCAAGAACATCATAATTATCAAGAAACTCCCAATATCAAGATTATCGAGATTCCTCATGGAATCATTATATCGACATCAATAATAATCATCATCAATCGCCATTTACAACAATATGGGGGAAACCCTAAGGGGAAATCATAGCTATGAAAATAGGTTTTGTTGAGACATGGGTTACCTCTTAGCCTTAAATAATTCCTTGGCTATGAAGGATCTTTCTTTAAGCTTTCTTGCTTTCTTGATTTCTTCTAAGGGAATTCTTGGAGCTCTCCTGGGGTGATGGGGCGTTTAGGCGTGTGGGCCGTTCTAGGCGTCTCCTAATTCCCTTATTTATATATTTAGGAGTCCTAATTAGGAACTAATATTATAGGCTTGCTAATTCTATTCCTTTTGGAACTAAGGATTGGGTTTAGGGATAAGGGTCCATGGTCCATAGTGGACCATATTAATTAATTAAAGGGAATCATAATCGTAGTCTGAATAGTAAAAGGCCTACTTCCTTTATTCCTAATAGATAACTAGGTCTAGGATTCCTAATTAGAATCTGAATAGTAAAGGGTTTACTTTCTTTATTCCTAATAGGCTTAGGACTCTAATTTAGGCAAGGGTCCACGGTTCATGGTGGACCTTTATTAATTAATTAAAGGAAACCTAACCGAGTTAAATCATATTTAATTATTATTAACGGGATTAATTTAATAATTAATCCGGGATTGAAGGCCGTAACACGGGGTGTTACAGCTATGTTGTTTATAAATTTATAATATCCCTTCAAAAAAATTTTATAATATATATTATGGATTTACATATTGAAAGTTTTAAAATTTTACCTACTATTTACTACTTTTAATAAATTTATACTATATTTCATAGGTTTGGACAAATGAAAATTGGAGATAATACTAATATGAATGTTGAAATTGAAGATCCAGATGATTGTGTAGAAATTGAAGAAGAACAAAAAGATCCATAAAAGTCAGTGAAACGTAAAAGGAAGTTGAGATCACATGTATGGGATCATTTTGATCGTTTGGTTACCAAGAATACAAATGGTGAGAATGTAAGCAAAGCAAAGTGCAAATATTGTGAAGTTCTCATCAATTCTGACAGCAAGTATGGGATAGGTAATCTAAAACGTCACAACTACAAATTGTGTTAGGAAAAACACACGCGACATAGGTCAAATGCTTATCGGTGGTGAGAATGGATCTATGTTAATGAGGTCTAGTAAATTTAGTGAAGAAAAGTTCCGGGAGTTATTAATATCTGCAATTGTTATGCATAATATGTCATTATCTTTTGTGGAATATGGTGATTTTCGAACTGTTTTCTCTTACTTGAATGATGATGTGCCTACTATTTCTAGAAATACTGCTAAAGCTGATATGGTTAAATTGCACCGAAAAGAAAAGAATAAGATAAAATTCATGCTTGATGATACACCTGGTAGGGTTAGTTTGACTTCAGACTTGTGGACTTCTGTCACTACTGATGGGTATATATGTCTTACTGCTCATTTTATTGATAGAAATTGAGTTTTTCAAAATAGAATCTTGAATTTTTCTTATATGCCACCTCCACATAATGGTATTGCATTAAGTGAAAAGGTCTATGGATTACTAGCCGATTGGGAAATTGAAAGTAAGTTGTTTGCTGTGACATTGGATAATGCTTTTGCCAATGATACTTTTGTTGATTATTTACAGTTGCAGTTGAATGCAAGAAATGTACTTTTAGATGATGGTAAATACTTTCATCTTAGATGTTGTGCTCATATTCTCAATTTGATTGTGCAAGAGGGGTTGAAGGAAGTTGATAATGCTGTTAAAAAGTGAGGGAAAGCGTTAAATAGGTGAAAGGTTCTCAAGTTAGAAAACAGAAGTTTCTAGAATGTGTGAGTTTAGTGAGTTTGAATACAAAAAGAGGTTTAAGGCAAGATGTTCCAACTAGGTGGAACTCTACATATCTTATGCTTCAAAGTGCACTTTACTTTCGGATGGCTTTTTCTCACATGGAAATTAGTGATTCAAAGTATAAGCATTGTCCATCTAAAGATGAGTGGGATAGAATTAAGAAGCTAAGCAAGTTCTTAGGAGTTTTTTATGAGATTACTTGTGTGTTTTCTGGAACCAAGTATCCAACAGCGAACTTGTATTTTCCTGCTATATTCAAGGCACGCTTAACTTTAGAAGAACAAAAGAATGGGGATGATTTGTGTATGAGAAATATAATTGTCTAAATGTTTGCTAAATTTGAGAAGTATTGGTCTGCATTTAGCTTGATTTTAGCTATAGCTGTGATATTGGATCCTAGTTACAAGATTCATTTTGTTGATTGGAGTTACAAAAAGTTATATGGGCATGATTCTATGGAGTTTAAAAAAGTTAAGGAGAGCTTATTTTCTCTCTACAATGAATATGCTCACAAGATTTCTCCTAGACATGTTTCATCAAATTATATGAATCTTGGCAATGACTCAGTTGGCACGGGAAATAATGAGGATGATTTTGCAGTAAATTTTTTTTTTAATGTAATAATGTATATAATAATTTTCTTATATCAAATTTTTTATGAATTATTTTAATATGTATTTTGTGTGTATGTGTGTGTGTGTATGTATCTAGGAATTTGACAATTATGAATGCACTGAATTTGGGAGTTCGAAAAACAAGTCTGAGCTTGAAATATATTTAGATGAGCAAAGAATTGACAGAAAAGTAGACTTGAATATTTTACATTTTTGGAAGGGAAATCAATTTCGGTATCCTCAACTTGCTGCCATGGCTCGAGATATCTTAAGTATTCCAGTGTCTACAGTGGCTTCAGAGTCTGCATTCAGTATTGGCGGTAGAGTACTTGACCAATACCGAAGCTCACTTAAACCAGAAGTTGTAGAGGGAATTGTCTGTTGCAAAGATTGATTGTATGTGGATTTAGGTAATGCCATTTTTTAAAAAATAAAGTTTATAAATAGAATCATTGTTTATTTTTCTTTATTTCATTACTAGTAATTGTCACGTGCGTTGCACGGTATATAAATTGTAAAGAATTAAGTTTATGAATGTTATATTGTAAATTGTGTGCAATAATGAGGTTATAATTTATAATATATAAATTAATTGTGTTTGGAAATTAAACAAAAAAAAAAAGATGTAAATGGTATATTATAAATAGTTGAAATTATGTTATGGTATTAAAAAAAGAAATCTTTACAAAATTACAAATTATTGAAAACTTCATGATATACAATGTTAGTGGTTGATGTAGTAGTTGTATCTGAGTCTTTTACTATCAATATTTTCAGACTATTTGGATTGTTAATCCGAGATGCAGCTAGGTACAATTGTTAACCCGAGATGTAACCAGGTACAACTGGCCATGTACAAACACCGGTTTCTTTAGTATTAATCCGACATGAGACAATATTTGTCATTGACTTTTGTTTATGGTCATTGCATATGATAGCATCAATGGAAATTATTTTCGTTGAAAGTTGAACAGCAATCTTGGATCAGGCGGTGACATGAACATTCGGGGGATCAACACTTTTGTTCCTTTATTAGCACCAGTCATTATCTTGGCTTCAATAATATAATCTGATAATTTTGAAGGTACTAACAGGCCCACCGAAACGCAAGGCGATAAATATATAAAATATAATTTTGTTAATGATGAAAATATTAAAATTAATTATTAATACATTTGAGGATATATCTTAGTATTTTAAAATAATGAAAGTAAAAAAAATTATAATAATTATAAATATACATAAGACTAAACAAATTAATAGACATAATACTAATCTTAACTATCGTAATTATAACTACACGAATATAATATATTGTATAAATAACAAATTAATATAAATAATACAAACAATTAAATAAGTTTACTAATATTAATCTTACCCACATAATATTAATGTTACTAACATAATATTAACCTTAACACACAAATAATATATAATTAGTATTGCTTGCTGGGCAAAATTACTAAAATAACCTAACCTAATACTAATACCTACGGCTTAGATTGTTTCAGCATCTGCTTCATTTCGAGAATGTTCACTCACTCTCCATTTCCGTAGTGTGAAGACAATCTCTTCTTCACTCTGGAGTGGGTTGAACCCTAAGGCCAGAAACTCTTAGCATGAATTTTAGCAAATTCGTGAGACGATGCTATGGCTTTACGTTCATATCTCAGCGCTGATGTTCGTATGGAATACACTTTTTGATTTCTACAACCCCCAAGCCGTGACGATCTGTACATTCTAGCGGTAACTACTTCAATTTCTTAGATGAATTTTCTATTCCGATAAGTTATCTAGTATATCTCTCAGTTAATTCCATTTCTATCATAAACTTCTTAACAAATTGAGTAGATACGGTGAACCCTAACTGTTAAGGGTTTGTTTAACTACTAAGTCCCATTAAAGTGTAGATCTGATGAAATCCTTCATTGGAAATCACATGCATCTGGATTTGACCAAAAATTTTGTATTCTAATGTTAGTATCTGCATTATCTTGGTGGATTCGTAGTTGTAAAGCCAGATTTTTTATTTTTTCTTTCATTTTGTTGTTTGCATATTTCTTTTAGAAGCAGACTTTCTATTTAACAATCACGTATAATATTCTGTTAATATTTGTCAGGTGCATTTTGGGATAAAGAAAAAGTTAGGCGATTTGCTACAGAGATAAGTTTTTTCATTCTTAGGTTTAGGCTGTATTAAAATGAAAATGTTTTAACCACCTAATTCTAGCTTTAGTTACTACCACTTGTTGGCATTGAAAGATACTTTTGGTGTCCATCATGCTTTTCTGATGTATATAAAGTGTTGGTTTCCAGTGATTAACATTTTTATGAGAGAACACACTGATTTGTAATCTATCAACTCTGAGCTATTATTGTTAATTTATTTATTAATTGCCTCCCAGTCCACTACTTACAATCTGAGAATATATGCTGGGAATGTGATTATTATTTGATTTATTGGTCACACAAATGACTTTGTTCAATTCACATTTTATCATTTGCCTCCTAGTCCACTACTTACAATCTTTAATCATATGTTTGGAATGTGATTATTATTTGTGTTGCCTATTGATATTGTTGTTTTAGTGTAGATGATTAGTAATTTAAAATTGGTCTGAGACCATATGCTTGGAAGAGTAACAGTTAGATGCTAAGCACCAATCTGATTATTAATTCTGTGCCTATTCATATTTGACAATGTAAATTTTGAAAACATTAAATAGTACATCATGGTATACTTGTGTTTTTTTATCTTTTTTTTTTTAAACAAAAAAAAGTTTATGGATCAAAGTCAACATACCTTTTGTGCTATCACTACTCAATTTGTGTTAGGTAGTTAGCCTAAGTCCATATTTTAATCATTAAGATCACTTTGTTTCATATAATGTTAAGATAAACAATTATATTCTGGTACTCTAGTCCTATATAGAAATAAGGCAATATGCCCATTATTATTGAATCATGATAGCGTCAATGAGGTTTTGACACTATCATCCACAGCTCACGCCAAAGATTAAAAAAAAAAAAAAAAAAAAAAAAAAAAAAAAAAAAAAGCTTAAGCAATGGTTGTTCTAGATCGCTCTGACATAACCCACCTCTTTCCATAATGTCTGCCTCTCTCAACAACACTCTGGCCACCGCAACCATCTCCTTCTCTCTAGAATCTTGCTCAATCTAAGCCTTTAATCAATAGCTATCTTTACCTAAATGCTTGATTTTGTCTACGATTTCTATTAACACTGTTTCTTTATCAGGTTTCTTGTTCGCCAGACTAAGATTGACAGTATGGCAGTGTGATACAGGGGGGTTTAATAAGACTTAACCTTGTTACTTGCAGGCTTGTAAACCCACCCCTGTATCCAAGTAAACAGTCTTTCAAGGTAAAATCAAAACTTAGCCTTCATTGTGGATCACTGCAAATATGGACACCAGGTACATCATTCTTTATATTGATGATTTTTATTACTCAAGTTTAGACTGTAATAATATTTTCTGATTAATTTTTGTTCATTTATTTAATTTTCAAATTAAATATACCTAACATTCACTCTTGCTATGCTATACTAAAACTATCAAAAATAAAAAGTTAGATATGATATATGATCAACATACCTTTAGTTTTTGAGAATACTGCTTCCTGTTGCCTCCTATCATACTTGATTCAATTAATTTCCTCACTATGTTCCCTGTGAGTATCTTAATTTCTTCTGCATCGCACGGGTGAATACCTGTGTATCAACGTGTTTTTTCAAGTCCTTTGAATTCTGGGCTTTGGATTTCTGTAGAATTGGTTTTAACAGTGAGCCAAATTATTGCAGCTATCGTTGGTTTGTAATATCAAGGCATGAGCACCCATACGAACTCCACTGTTTGCTTGGATTGTGGGTTATGCATCTGGATGAGACTTTGGAGTTCTTCCCTACATTTGCTGTGGATTGAAGATTGAAGATTGAATATTTATAGGATAGTTATTTTGGATACTAAAAGTCCCACTGGACATCAGGATACTTATTTTGCAATTATTGTGGATACTAAAGAGTCCAAGTGGAATTACATTGCTGATACTAAAGAGTCATTCAATAAATGTAATCTAATGACTTTGGCGGGAGCTCTTTCACACTTTTGGAGGGAAACTTTGTGTGGCTAGGATTCTGCTTTATTATATATAAAGATAAAGATTAGTTTTTTTTTTTTTTTTTTGTAATTTTGCATTTCCCCAGTTTAAGATGATTATTAGCAATAAGAACTATTGTAAAAGACTGACTGATGTGGAGACGTGAATTGTCAGTCAGACAGATAGATTGCAAATTAGTTTGTCGAGGAAAAACTAAAACATGCAATAAAACAACACATACGATGTTTACCCAGTTCGATACAGTGTGTATCTACATCTGGGGGGCGATCACCGAGGCGTCCAATCCACTAACTCATAATCCAATGTACAAAGGTAGAGAAACAAGAATCTCACCCAAGTGCCCCACACAAGGTACGTACCCAGTCTACAAAGGTTTAGTGGATTGTTGAAGGCGGAGAGCCACGCATGCAGAAGTCCAACGAAATCCCTTCGATTGGAGAGCTAACTCTGATGCAGTCCGCTTCAATGACACAGTCCCACGTTGTTCCCACAACTGAGTGATCTTTGCGTCCTTTCGTTTAAGCAACGATAGTTCTTCTCAAGTTCTTCATCATAATCACCAAGAACACATATTCTTGAGAAGAGGCATAATCAAAGATATGATCCTCTGTATAGCATGGAGTGCTTTTTGTCTTCTTAAAACGTAACCCTAATCCATGACCGAATGAGGGTACTTATACTTCCTTAGAAAGAACACTCTCCAAAAATATCTTTGATTGTAGATGGTAGGACGATTTGTGAAGAATGCAATCTTAAAGATTCGGTCCATACCTTCCAAAACAGATCCGTTGATTTTCTTTCCAAAAAGTCTTCTCAAACCGCGTTCAACATTTTGGAAACTTCTTCCTTTATCAGATCTTCAGTGTCAGTGCGTCTGTTGATGTACCTGATCAATCAATCTTCTGTAAAACCAAACAGATATCAAGCTAAACCCTGTCTTTGTTTGTCATAATAATATTGCCAATTATATGTTGGGGTTTTATGGAGAAAAAAACAACACTAACATTTTTATTGACTTATAATGTTTTATTTTGAAAATTTGTAGATTCAGGACAAACCGACTTGAACGAGATTACAGAAGATATCATAAATATGATTGTGGAAGAATTTATTACATCAGGATGAATTATTGATGTTCAACAATATGCAATTTAAATTTTATTGTGTTTAATTTTGTTTTAAAATATTATTATGGACTTCTTTAATTATGATTTTGGATGTTATTTCATCATTTTCTGAAAGTTATGAGTTGAATATTTTGTTAGTTTGTTTGATGTATTGAATTATAAGTTCTATTTCTATTTCTTATTAATATATATATATAATAATTTAATATGTTTAGTGGGTTTAAACGGGTTTCGTGTCATATCGTGTCGACATGACACGAAACCTATTAACAAAACGTTTTTATCGTGTCAACCCGTTTAACCCGTTTACAAATCGTGTTTGTGTTCATGTTCAGAATTTTAACCCGTTAACCTTAACGTGTTGTGTCCGTGTTTAGTCTTATCGTGTTCGTGTCGTTATCGTGTTGACCCGTTAACGAACCTGTATACACGAATTGCCAGGTCTATTCCTACTACCAGTGGTTTATTTTTATCGCAGTCTTAGTATGTGGTTGATGTTTTGGAACACTTTAGTATGACGGGGGCGAAAGAGGTGTCAACGCCGATGAGTACTTCTATATACTTGGCGCTACCTCTCCGGCTTTTGATGCCACTGTGTATCGGCAAGCCATTGGCCGGTTGTAGTACTTGGTTATTACCAGACCAGAGATTTCGTTTGCAGTCAACCGTTTATCTCAATTTATGGCCTCATGGCAGTCGATGAAACGGGCACTTCGCTACTTGAAGGGTATGTTACATCATGGATTGCATTTTCGCAGGGGTCGGTCTATTTCCCTAATGGCTTATTCGGACTCGGATTGGGGTGGCGCTCGTGATGGAAGCCGCTCGACCATAGCCTATGTGGTCTATTTTGGTTCAAATGTTGTGTCCTGGAAGTCTGCGAAACAACGCTCTATGTCTCAGTCTTCTACGGAGGTGGAGTTTCGGGCGCTTGCTAATTCTGCTGCTGTGGTCATGTTGATTCAGAATCTACTACGTGAGCTTGGGGTACGGTTACGACTTACAAGTTTCACCGATTCTAGTTACCGACAATTTGAGTACCTCCTACGTCTGTAAGAACCCAGTGTTTCACTCGTGAATGAAGCATTTGGCTCTTGATTACTTTTTTTTTTTTTTTTTTTTTTTTTTTTCCGGTGAACAGGTTACTTTCGACTCCCCGCGAGTGCGTTACGTGATCAGGTTGACTAAGCCGCTTGGTCATCGGCTGTTTACTACGTTCAGAACCAAGATTGGTATCACTGATGGTACCTCAATCTTGCGGGGGCCTGTTGAGACTTAGTTAATATCAGTTAGTCTTTTGCCTAGTCTTTGGGTTTTTGTATAACTAGTTCTCTGTAGATTTTTTCCTATTTATTCCCTTTGTCAGATGATGAATAAATTTGTTCAGTTGTCACTCTAACAACATCAAGACAATTTTCTGAAATGTAATCAACATAAAAAATGAAAATATTTTCTGAAAAATGACTCATTTTTCAAAAACATTTTTTAAAAATTGGTTTCTAAAAGCACCCTAACTGAATTACCTGAAGTCCTGAATGTCAAATGTAATTTAAGGAAAACTTGAGTGGCAAGTGTAATTAATGGGAAAGTAAGTAAAGCCCTCACAAAACCCCTCTTCGGTTCTTCCTAGTCGAATCCTGAATCGTTCTCATCTTAGCCATGGCTTCGATTCTTCGTGCTTCGCGCAGATCACTTATCGCATGCGGCACTACGATTAACGCATCATTTTCTCAACCTCAACACTTCGCTCCAGGCGCCGGTGGATTCAGCAGGGCTCTGGCGTCTCAATCCCTCCCACAGATCGCTCGCAAATCTCCCTTCGACTCAAACATACTCAGAATCCTCCACAACGAAATCGATTACCTCAGCGTCTACGCCCCTCCCCACTCGGTATTCTTCTACACTTTTCTAATTCAATACTGTATTTATTTTTGAGTCTTCAACTCTTCACTAGTGTTTTGTTTTTGTATGTGTGTGTGTTTTTTTTTTTTTTTTTTTTTTTTTTGGAGGCTGTATTTTAATATCTTGCTTAAATTATTTGCTGAGAGTTTAATATATGTGCGCTGTGAGACGTGGGAAGAGGCCTTAAATCCGCCACCTATCAAGGCTTGATAACAAATCCGTGGATGACACTAGTTAAGTGTTACAAATGCACATAAAATCTGGACTAAGAATACAAGAGAGGACAGCCTCAATAAAAATGCAGTAACTATCAAATGCAAAACCTTGTCCACAAATATGTTCCTGTGCCACATGAAATACTATAGTGATAACTTGTGGAAGCACAATGCTCTTGTGGGATGTTTCCATTTTTCAGTTTTCAATGTAGCAATCTTGACTTGTTGCTTTCAATTGCCTATAGGAGTTCCCCACTTCTGAGATACATCAGGGAGGGAATACAGGAAGGATAAATAAAGAGATTCAAACGGTTGATTTCCTTTTGGTGCTCCATTAGTAGTCTTGCTTACTAACCATGATGGTTGGGTTAACTTAGATGAAAGAATTTGAATGTTGAGCTGCAAGATTTTTTTTTTTTGACTAGTTAATAAAAAATCAAAAGTGGTTTCTTTTACCTAGCTGTCTTTCAATTGAAAGAAACCGTTGTTACAGCTAATGTAATTTGTTTCCAATTTTGCCACTCTTGCTTCCATTTCCTGATCTCAATACATTGTCTCTACTGTTGAGAGGAATAAGTAATCAAATATCAGGGATAGTTAATGGCAAGATCGTGGAATAGCCCATAATGCATTTGATACATTTGAAATTTCTCCCTTTCAATCAATACAATACTTATGTTCATCCTAAATACTTGAAAGGTTGACAACATTATGTGCTTACTAAATGGACTCTATTTGGTCATCTAGTGGGGATCTCTTCCATCACAGATAGCTGGTAAATCAATGGTTTCATGAATAGTTCAAACCTGAAGTTGGTGCACTCCCTCGCTAAAAAGTAAGAACTCAGAAGTTCCCTACCACTCCCCTCACCCCCCCCCCCCCCCCCGGCGCGCACAAAATAAATAAAAATAAAAAATCAAACATTTTTTTTTCCAGTGTCTCTGATCAGTGCTTCCATCATTCTTCCTTTATTTTCGTGCTCTGACAACTGATCACTACCTCCATTCAGTAACTCTGTCTTTCTTGCTTTTTCCCCTTTCTGATGATTAGTCACTGTCTCTGTTCATTGCTTTTCCCTTTTTTTTTTTTTTCTGTGATTATGCCAAGGATGGTTAATATATCAGTGAACTTGTGAAACTTGAGATGCACTTGATTTGATGATTTGCACCAAGAGGGTGCATGAGTGGTTCATTGGTATATCCTAAATGAGGAAAAGGGATTTGGAACATGTTCTCTTTGTACCTTTAATCTCTTGTTAACTTGTGTCATTGACTGTTTGCAATTGTGTTTTCTTACTGCTGGAACTTATGGCAGCAGGTGTTGACAATATGCCTCATGAAGTGATGCCTATATTACCATCACTTGTGGTTTATCGTTTATTTAATAAATTAAGATTGAATCTAATTTTTCTTTTTGTCCTCAAACTGTGAATTTACAACTATAAATTTTTACTGCATTTTGAGTATATATTTTTACATATCAGTACGCCTCAAATTCAGTAGACTGCTTTTGTGTAATCCCATGCACTAGTTTACTGGTATGGTGGGCATAACAACTATGGTTCTAGGTGCCTTAGCTTTGATTGTTGTCCAGAAAGCCTTCAAATTCTTCTACAGCTAAATGAAAGCAATAGTCTAGCACTAGCAATATCCGTGATAAATGATCATAACCAATGTTATATGGGTTGACTGGAGCTTATTGCATTCGACATGAGATTATGCCCAATTGTTGTATTATGGTCATAAGATGTGAAGGAAGGCATGTTTTCATGCAGAATTAGTTAGGGAAGACGTGGTCCTCATTTCTTAATACCTTAAAAGGAAAAATTATGACTGTAAAAGCAAGGGAAAAGATCATGCCTACAGAATTGAATTTATGCTCTCATAAAGTCTCTTTCTTAATCCTTTGTCTTTTGTTTTATGTTATTCATTATTGTATCTTCTTGTTGCAACTATTGAGATAGATTTTCTTTAAGCAGTCTCAGTCCCTGAATAACTGATCCTAAGACTCATTGATTTCTGTAATGGTCCTTTCTTCCTTCCTGTTTCTTGTGCTTAATTGTTGACTTTCTCCAGCATGTTACAAAGTTCAATGAGTTTATGGTTGAAGATCATCCGGGGAAGCAGTGGATTACTTTGAGGAGTAAATTTCAGCAGAATGAAGAAATTAAAATTGAAGCTACAATGTTCGATGGTTCAATTTCTGTACCCAATTCTGGAGATGAAACTAGTGAAGATGTGAGGCTTCATATTAGCTTGCTAGTGGACATATGGAAGAAGGAAGGGGGCGAAGCATTGGAGTTTGTGTGCTCAGCCTGGCCAGATTCCCTGGAAGTTCAGAATGTATATGTTTTCAGGCGAGAAGGATTGCAATCTTCACAACCATATATGGGACCAAATATTAAGTACGTTATTTCTTGGTATCATTTTTGAGATTATCCAACTTTATTAGTTTCATTTCTAGATACCTGTTTTGTTGTATGTTCTGTAGTTTTTCAGCTTGGCTTTAAGTTTTTCTTTATAATGATTGTTTTCAGGGATTTGAACAGTAAGCTCCATAATGCTCTTTACAAATTCTTGAAGAGAAGGGGGATAAATGATGAACTTTCTGTATTCTTACACAATTATATGATGAACAAGGATAGAACTGAATTTTTTCAGTGGCTAAGAAAAATAAAATCTTTTATTGAGGAATGAAGGCATGTCTCTACTTGTATGCCCATTGAATTTGGTATTTTTGTAACCCCGTGTCTATAAATTTCTATATCTTTATGCAGTTTCTTCTTATTATTATTATTGTTTTATTTTTATTTTTTTTCCATAGGTGCTATCAATCAGATTTCACTGGATCAGTCAAGAATCAGGCCATTTAGTGGCTTCCTAAAGCGTGCACTATTTAGGAATTGCATACTTTCTGAGTTTCAGAGTTTCAGAGTTTCAGTACGGAGTATTTTTATGAACTGATAATTTTGTCTCTCATATGGAACATTGTGCAGAATGTAGGTTTTTAATCTCTAACTTCACCAATGATGCTTTCTTTAGTTATGTCCACATCTATCTATTACTATTATTATTTTGACTTTAGATATTTGTGAACAGTCAGTCAATCATGATTTATTTTCAATTTATGAACACATCAAAGTTCAGACCCAGGTGAGGAAGAGGAATGCTACTGCTTCTAGTCTACTACTATGATAAATTTGACAAAGGACCATCAGGTTAAAATCCTGCACTGCTGCAAGATATTGAGATATGGAAAATTACTAATAAAAATTGGTCAAGGACAGATGGACAATCACATTAAATTATTTCAAAGCTAAATCTTTCTAGATCTAGCAATCTTTTTTAAAAAAAGTGGTTCTGTACATGGTTATGAAAGATGACAAAGAAGATATATTATCTTTGATAGATAATTTCTTTGAAATGACTTCTTGTTTGAAAACTTCTACATGTAGACAAAATGACATTCTTTTTCTTGAACTGGAGGAACAGTTGAATCCGTTTACACGTTTGGTTTACAGTCAAGTTATACCTGCAGTTGATGGTTCTATTATAATTTCTTTATTATGTGGAAGAAACCAACTACTTGCTGCAATTTCTTTGAGGTGTCACATTCTGCAATACCTAAACTCTTGTTATTGCTACATCTGTCTTAGTGGGTGTTTCTTAATTATTAAATTGGAGAGAGCCTTGTACTGTTGCCTTGGTGTATGTCTGCCTGTAAAAGGGAAATTTTTGGGACTTTTAAACAGGTAAGTGTTTGGTTCCCCATTGGATGATCTATTTGACAATGTGTGGATTTTGAGTAGGTACACTTTGTGAAATGCAAATTGCAGTTAGAGTTCTACATCTAACCTGTCTTATTCATGTTGTAATTGGGACCAATTGATCATATAATGGTTTAAAGAAAAGTGGTTGTGTATCCACGTTTTCCTCTCTTCCTCTTTTTAGGCTTATTGCTTCATTTTGTTTATTGTTTCTAAATATCTTGCTGTTTAGGCTGTATATTAAAAGAACATTAGTTAATACTGTAACAGTGTTATGGAATTTGACTGCAAATATCAGGATTTTTTATTTTGTGCAGTTTGTGTAGTGCGAAGTACTGAATTGACAAATTGTTGCATATGCTATCCTTATGAAGCATCTTACTCTTCATTTCTAGAGAATAGCTCAAATCTTTTGTTTGTTTAAATTGGAAAATTTGCAGCTAGTGTTCAGCAATAGAGTTAATGAGATATATATAATATACAATTTTCCAAGTTTACTATCTGTTTGCTTCACCCTTTGTCATTTAAATTAGCCATCTCACTCTTTGTACTGCAACAAAGAAAGGTCTATATGCAATGTTCCAAGTCAATTGACTGTTGCTTCACCTCTGTCAACTAATCTAACAATGCTGAGTAGTGAATGATTTCAAGGAACAAGTGAAAATGACATGGACTATTATAAATATTAACTGTTGAACATGGGCTGAGGAAAACAAGAAGACAAGGAATGAGAGGAGAATTAAGAAAAGAAGTTCAGAGTCTGAGAGAAAGGTCAAGGTTTTCTCTATTAGTCTCCAAATGATTACTGGAGCTACCTGTCCAAAGATCCTCAGCAATGGCAGCTTCACCTGGAGGAGAAGAAACCACTATTCTTGGTCTGTTGATTTTTTCTTTCAACAGCCCTGCTGAAGCTGATGAACTAATATGACAATTATTTTCTCCAAAGAGCTTACCTACTGCAGGTTGTTGGCTGAAAAAGGGCCTCTTAATGATCCCTGAAGAACTATGCATGTAAGAAGGCTTAATCATCATGGAGTGTGGCTGAATTCCAAGTGGCTTGTGCAGAGTGCCATGAAGTGGAAGGGAAGCAATGCTAGAATAATGATGGCGGTGATGAATGCCCATGCCCAGACTCGAGCGCCCAAAAGCTGCAGCTGCTGCCATGAAGTGCTGCCCTAATCTCTGCTCCTTTTTCATAAGTATCCTCTCTCTCTTGTGTGCATTCTGATGACCTCCAAGTGCTTGTGAACTATAAAATTTTCTCTGGCAGTAGTTGCAGGAGAAAACCCTTGGCGCAGCAGCAGCAGCAGCATCTACTTTCAAGTTTTGATCGGTTGGAACTCGGGATGCCTCCATATCCAAATGGCGAATAAGGTTGAGCTCTGAACTGCCCCTGTGATCAGAGCCACCAGATGAGCACATCATATCACGTTTCTGCCCATCCCCATCCCCAGCCTTTCCTTGGACTGACACATGGTCTTTCGAGTTCTGCAGCGTGAAGTCATGACGAAGAGGAGGAGCCTCAGGTACGTCTCTTTCTACTTTCTCCATCTGGCCATCTGCCATTGATTTGTTTCCTTAGTAGCAGCACAGTACTCAGAATTTTTCGAAGAAAGTGGGAAGCTATTGCTTCATGTGAAAAAAAGACACTACTTGGGGAACTAAACCGGAGGTGTCATTTACAGCAGTATTTATCGAATGGGAGACTCATAGCAAGACAATGAATGGGAAAAAAGAATACATAATAAAAAAATTGCAATAGTACTAAGACAGGTCTTGTACTGAGTGTTTATGGGAAAAAGGAGTACCTCCTATGTATTATATTATATAAATGGTATAAAATAAGAAAGAATGTGTAAAATAAGGCTAGTTCTGGTGTGAGGGCAGTAGAAGCAAAAAAATGACATCTTCCTACTAAAGTACTACACTACTACCATTGGCATATACATACCTTAAGGTTGAACTCAGTCTTTTCATTTTGACAAAACGTGTTAGCTCTCTTGGAGAGTATTCTTTACTTATATTTAGTACTCCATAGATTGCGTGTTTTTTTTTTTTTTTTTTTTTTTTTTTTTTCACTCTGTCTTATTTAGCTTGGTTATACCCTTTATTAGGGCATGTATTATGTACATATAGAATTATATGAGTGAATCAAACTTCATGCCAAAAATCATTTGGCTAATCATACCAGAGTGTATTATGTTCACTTGATTACAAAATTGATTTCAAGATGGAGTTAATCGGAGTTCGGTCTAAATATTGGATTCTAAGATTCATGGTTAAAAATTAAGGATGACAATAGGGTATGGAGTATGGACATGAACAAGTAGTACCTTTATTATTCGAGTCGGTACAAGTAATACCCTTTTGGATACTTGGTACCCAAACTATATTATAATAATTAAAAAAAAAAATAATAATAATAATAATAATAATAATAATAATAATATTATTATTATTATTATTATTATTATTATTATTATTATTATTGTGATAAATTGGTTTTGTAATTTTTAGTTGTGTATATAACAACAAATTCACAATAGAAAATTTATAAATAAAACAATAATTGTACTGTTTATTAGAAATTGTTTGTTTGTTTATTATAAAATCTTTGGAGTTAATTTAATTTTTGTTCTTAGATTTATAAGTGACAGTCCACTTTTAAGCCCTTTTTTTATAAGAATATTTACTTTGGTCCTAGTATTATTGTGGCATGATCATTTTTTATCTTTTATCAACAAAATAGTTTAAATATCGTTAAATACAAGAGCATTTTGCTCTTCAATTATGAATTTTTTCAAAAAAATAAACATAAAAAATACCATGGTTCAACCTACTTTTGTATAAAAAAGATGGTCATGTCACAATAATAATATGACCAAATAAAAATGTTCTAATAAAAAAGGTATAAAAGTGGATTGTCACATATAAATGTAGGACTAAAAATGAAATTAACTCAAATCTTTAAACGAGTACAGATACCTTAATAATTTTGGAATGAGTATGAGTGAAGTTTAGCTAGGTTTAGCACGAGTTCAGATAGTAATATAAATAACGAGGTTTGTATATTATGGTTATCATCCATATTAAAACTTACTCCTTGATTAGTGTCCAAAGCCAACTACTCTCACCCTATCTACATTATGCTTACGATTTAATAATGTTTAAAGTTATAACCTTTTACTATGTTGTGTTTCTTTTTGTAAAATAATATGTTAGTCCTTCACTAATACTTTTGCAAGTTCTATGTGGTTTACACATAAACATGCAAATTCTTATTGATCATGATATACATGTTTTTTGATAAATCTTGTGTGCAAATTTGATGCATACTTCATTAACCAAAACTGTAAAATTTATCATCTTAACATTGGTTACATATATCAACTAGAGAAAAATATTAATATTATTTTCCTTTATTAAAAGTTTTTGGTTCGTAAACAACTTTGTTTTCATTGAAATACAGCATTAAATATTCATTCAATTCTTGATCTTCATCTATTTATTTATTTTTGTAAATGGAGCAACAGCTATAAATTCTCAAGTTTTCATCTTATTCAATTACTAGTAATTCACCCGCGCAATGCACGGGGTAAAAATTATGTTATTATAAATATAAATAAAAAATAGAAAAAATAAAAATATTTTAAATTGTTTAATATAATAATATTTTTGAGCTTCCATTGGTTAAGTATTTATTATTTTTATAGAATACAAAATTATAATTAAAATTTTGTATGGTTAATATAATCTCTAATTATGTACATACTCAAATAAACTTATAGAGAGAATTTACATAATTACATTGATTTATTCTTAATTGTATTTCATCTATATTATAATTTTCACAATACGAATAATAACTAAGATAATTACATTTAGAAAGCAAATTTCAAATTTTGTATGAGTAAATTTAAACTCTAATTGAACACATTTTTTTATATGATTATATAATATATTCTTTATGCACATGGCATTCCATAAACTCAAATGTCATTTTATAAGTCCAAGACCACTTTTTGTGGAGATAATTCAAATGTATTTTTTTTTCTTTTAAAAGTCCTAAGTTTAGACATCCAGAAAAACATTAAAGACTCATACGATATATACATTATATATATATATATATATATATATATATATATATATATATATATATATATATATATATATATATATATATATATATATATATATATATATATATAAATTTTTATTTATGGCTTAAATGATTTTTTTTTTAATTATGAAGTCCAATAATTGACCCACGGCCCGCAATATTTGCTTTCTTCATCCCTTCTCGCTTCTGCCATTTCTTTGAAGCATTTGAGATGGAGAAAAATTATATGTAGAGGCTTGCATTAATTGCACTGTTTCAGATATTGAATAGGCTTTCATCGAAAATTTAATTAATATTGTAATCCCAAGAACCACCATAAATAACAAAAGCATATCAAATAGACTTTCATTGTAAAGCCAGAGATTTAACTAATATTGCATCGTTTCATATTTTCTATTAATCAGGAATCGGAATCCTTAATCCTAATTTCATAACATTTAATAACTCCATTAATTCAATAATGTAATCCTTTGTTATAGGCGAGAAAAAAAATAGCTATTTTATTTTTCAAATGTTGTGCTTCTTTTTTTTTTTTTTTTTTAGTAAAAGATGTTGTGGCTATTTTATATTTATACCTAGTAATAATAATAATGTTGGTAATTAATTGTAACATTAATTATTTTCTAACCATATAGCTTTATTATATGTAAAATATCGCTTTTGTTTTTTTATCTTAATTATTGTTTTTGATCTCTTGTGAAAAATGAAAGGACAATTAAACATTTTTAGCCTACAATGCACTCGTAAGGTCATAGGACAACACAAGGTTTAACTTATTTGAAGAAGCATCAAAGACGTGTAGTCCAAGAGGAAAGTAGTATATAACTTTTAGTCATTCAATTAGCACATTGATTTTTCAAAAAAAAAAAATAAAAAAAAATAGCACATTTATTAGTTTTTCGATAATGCACTTTAATTGTACAAATTCAATCATGATCCGGGTGATCATGTATAGCTTGAACTAGGTGTTTGTAATTTATAGCTTCTTAATGAATGAATAATAATATTGCTCCATTAAACATGTCATATGTGATATTGTCAAACTTATTTTTCCTCTTTTTTTTTTCTTTTTTTCTTTTAATGTGTTTACAATTTTCAAATTTTGTCTTTTGCTCTGCCAAAAGTTATGAGTAATCTAATCCGTTCATTTGGATAGATTAACAATTAAGGGTTGCTGGAAAATCAGGGGAAAAATGAACATTTTTATAAATATCATAAATTTAAAAATTTGCAATCATTATAAAATTGATCTTGTAATTTTTTTTTAAATTAAAATTCTCAATCATTGATAAACTCTGATGGATTATTGTGATCAGTTTTCACTTTTTACCGGAGGACCTTATTCTTATTTGAACACGCACACGCAGGGTCTAGCAACGTGGACCATTAAAAATGTTGTGATTAAACAAACAAATCTGCTTAGATTTAGGAAATTAGGAAAATAAAATAGTAAAAAATATTTACCCAATGAAAAATTAATCTTCCAAGCAACAACCAATCATGTCAAAAAAAAAGGTAAAAATTCCTTCCACATCACGACTTTCGAACTTGTTTCTTCTTTAACAATATTTATGGAAACAAACAATTATTTTTAATTATTAATATTAACACCCACCGCACAAGTCAAAAAAAAAAACAATAATCATGATGAAAAACCCTAATGACAATATAATACACCACAACTAAAAGAAGAATGCACTACAACTATAACAACGATGCATTGGTACTATAACATTGATGCACAAATACTACAACTACAAGCAACAACTGCCACTGCAATGCACAAAAAATTGACCATTGTCATATTAACACTGAATGTACAATATTGTTGTGTTTGTCTCATAGGATTAGGAATATGAGTTTGTCTCATATAAGGAATAGGAGTGAAAGGGAGATTATATGCCTATAAATATATTGAATGTATCTCATCACCTTGGGATCACCATCACAAATAATAAAAAAATACTTTCACTCCTGTGGATGTAGGCACATTGCCGAACCAGATAAATCTTGTTTTCTTTACTTTCAACCATTATTATTTTTCTTGTTCTTGTTAATCTCAACAAATACTATCCCACAGAATGCACACATTTACACTAGCAATGCTCAACTTTTACTCTAGGAGTGCATAATGGTATACAACATAGTCATATGATGCATAACCGAACACTAGCAGTGATACCAAACCAATGCACAACTCACAGTCCTAAGGTGCACCACACCTAACGATCACTCACAATCCTACGATGCACCACACCTAGCGCCACAATGCACAGCTCAATAACCTACGATGCACCCCTTCCTAAAGTTACAAATTTATCAACAAACCTAATCAAAAGCATACTCTAACGAACCGTAAAAAAAAACAAAAAAACAAAAAAATAAAAACAAAAACAAAAACAAAAAACAAAAAACAAAAAAACAAAAAACAAAAAACAAAAAAACAAAAACAAAAACAAAAACAAAAACAAGGAGAACAAACATGAAGCCAAGTTGAGTAGTCACCATTGGCACTTGAAAAAATCGAAAGAAGAATGAAGAAAAATGACCGGAAAAATCCTTTAAAAGGACATAAAATTAAGGAGCATTCCGTATTTGAAAGCTCCATGCAGGAAAAACCAGAAAAAATTACACCCACACTTCCGCCACTTAAATTAAAATAAAATGGATTAAAAAAACATTAAATCTGTTATCAAAACAAAAAAACAACATTAAATCTTAATCATCATATCTTGTCTAAATTAAACAACCCTAATTAGACCAAATTTTCTCACTTGGTTCTCATTTGATCCATTTTATATATATATATATATATATATATATATATATATATATATATATATATA